TTTCGGATTTAAGTTGAGGGAGATCCCGGCGATGTCAAAAGTTGGCAGCATTTACTTCATTGTGCTTAACACTTTCCGCTTTGCTAGACGCCCAGCCAGGATGCTAGGAGATGCCAGGATCTGCTGTGCCCCCTACCCCCTCACAGTTTAGGACTTCCTGCGGGTGTTGCAAAGTTGTGCGGCATGGCTGATGTATGCTCATATAACTTTGCCACTAACGAGACTCATGAGCTGCATAATAATGAGAGCCAAAGTCGAGGGCCAACAAGGCAACACAAGGCCTTTCTCCAACTCCAGGTCCTAGTACTCCTCCTGCCTCTACTTTCTGCTCCTCCCTGCTCCTCCCTGTTATCCCCGAAACTGCATTCATTTCGCATTTATCGACTCAATGTGCCCCGGCCATCAATCAGCGTTCAGGCTTTCGGCCGCACGATTAATCTGCCAACTGATTTCCCGTTGACGGAACAACAATGCCAGCTAATGCGGGCCAATTATTCATATTTCCCTCCACCATCCACCATCCACTACCTGCAGCCAGCAGCAGTCGCTGGATTTATGAACTTGTCGTCCTGTGCCCAATGATTCGCATTGATTAACATTTACATACGCATGTCTGGGCACAGCGTTTTAGTCTCTATTTTAGTTTCTGTTTCTGTTTCCAGCTGGGTCTGTGTCCCTGCTCTGACCTGCATACAAAGTGTCTTTGCACTGGCAGAAAATTACATCTATTTTTAATTTTAAAAATAATATTTTAGGCATTTTGGCTGAGCATATTGTTTCACTTTGCTTTTAGAGCAGGCTTGAATGTTAGCATTTTTTTAAAAGGTTTAAAGTTCAAATAATATTTTAGTCTAACATAGTTAAAAAAATAAATCAAAATTTTTTTTAAAATTTAATTATGCAAGCAATTTATGATTTTTACTACAAATAATAATAAAAAGAAAATACTAAATAATAAAAATATATATATATAAAATAATAATTATATTCATTTATATTTTTAAATTTATTATAATCATTCTGTCTGGAGAACTTTAAATTTATTATATTTCTTTAATTTTTATATTAATTATATTTATTATATTTTTTATATTTCTTATATTTTTTATATTTATCACATATTTTAACTATATTTATTATCCCCATTTATCTGCCGCAATACACCTTATCGGAAAATCTTGGCTAAACTTTCTCTATGTATAGTTATGCCTCCCGTAATCCCCCCCTGTTATTTTTATACTGTGCTCCCCGGCAAACTTTAATGTTGTTAATTGCAGTTTGTAAGTGCTAAATACTTGATTTATTTTTTCTGCGCACACATTTCCGATCTGAAGCCGAGCTGCTTGAGGCTATTTAGCTCTGCGGACTTCAAGTGGGCCAAAGGAGGGAGGATGAGGCTGCTGGCTGGCCTCCTCCGGCCATCGCCTTTTCAATTAGCCATGATGCAAAGCAGCAGCAGTAGCAGCAGCAGCAGCGGCATCCCCCTTCTTCTAACCGAAACGACCTCTTGAAGGGGCCTCGGCATCCGCCGCCACTAGCCCCTCCAGACCATTGCGTTACAAGTGCAAATTAGTCGAGAGTGCCAACAAATTTAACGAGCAAATTTACACTCAGCGAGCAGCAACAGAAGGCCAGCCAGGGGGAGAGGGGATTACCGGAAATACAAAAAGGGGAGGCTCGAGGGTGGAGGGTGGTCCTTGAGGCCGTGACCCGAGTGCATGTCCCTGGCTCGATCTTACAATTGCCAGCCAGAAATTCAGCTGAGCTGCCGCCGCACTGAGAGGCAGTTGCAAATTTGCCTGCCCTTTTTTTTTTTTGTCTTTTCTTTATTTCGGGGTTTCCCCGATGTGTATATGTGTGTGTGAGTGTGTCTGAGTTTTAATTTAAGCAACACAGCACCGCAATTGCTCCCAAAAAAAATAACAAGTACAAAAAAAAAAGATTACGAAAAATGGGGCCAACTGTTGGCAGGACGAAAATTTCATGCCCTTGCAACTTTAATGCCAATTTTTGGAATTGCCCTGAAACAAAAGAAAGTTTTTGCTTATTTATGCTGCAAAAATTGAAAGTTTTAAGCAAAATAATTGAATAAAATATTAGGGAAACAAACTACTAAACTTAAATAGATGTATTTTTTATTTTTTTAAATGAAATTTTAGAGCTTCATTTTGGGAGATTCCAATTTGTAGCCTAATATTTAATAATAAAATATTAATATTATTATAATTTAATATTCCCTTTCCTTAACAAACCCCTCATCAAGTGCGTGGATACCCTTCTTCTGCCAGGGTAAGAAAAGAGGAAAAGTGAAAAGCCTTGAGGCACGAGGCGAGGTTTCCCCCCCACCCCCGGCACTCTTCGAATTTCCTCGGACGAGGACTTGCCCTCGCCTTTTCGCTTGTCTTATTACGCCTGGGCGTTGGCCACTTTATGGAGACGGTTGCTCCTTTTTCCCAGCACTTTTCCCAGTCCATCTGCCGGCCTGTAAGTATTTCCTTTGATTCCGGGGCCAGCGTGTGTTTGTCGTTGGAAGTTGATTCAAAAATTGGACAGTCAGGTGGTTGGAGGAGCCTGGCAACCTGACAGGTTCCAGGTTCCAGGTTCCAGCAGCGACCTCCGCCCTTGGGCCAATCCATCCCCGTTGCAGCTTCCCAGGACCGACCAGCCGGCCAGCCAGCAGCTGTGAACCCATGTCAACTTTAATTGAATTTGATAGAACGGATATTTAGCCAAGGCGGCTCAGCTCCATTTACACCATTAGCAAAGGAGAGCCTACGCCCGCCTACACTGGGGGAAAAGGGGTCTCCACTCTGTCTCGCCTCCCTCTTCCCCTTGTATCTGCAATTAAATTCGAAGAGAAAAGGCTCAGCAGCTGTCATGTGTTAGGCCTGAGTTCCTTAAACTGGGTCAAGCAAGCGGCCAAAGTACATATTTACTTGAGTTAGCAAGGCTTCAGCAAGGCTGATTTTGTAAATTAAGATTTTAAGTTTGAATTGTATTTTTTTTATTAATATTTAAATAGGGAAATTAATGGGAAAATATGTATTTTTCCCTGTTTGTCAATATTTTTCTTTACTTTATTCAATGTTAATTTTTTATGATTGCAAAATTTTTTAAAAATTATATAAAATTATAGGTATGAAACATAGGCCGGCTATATCCTTGCAGGGTATTTTATTTTCAGTCAGAAGCCTAAAACGCAGTGAAGGAGGCATTTGCCACCCTATAAATCATATATATTCTTGATCAGCATCAAAAGCTGAGTCGATTTAGGCATGTCTACAAGAAAATGAAAAAAAAATGTTTTTCTCTTCATTTTATGTTTAAATTTATTGTTTAAGGCGTTAAACAAAAATCGAAAAATTTTAAATTGGTTAAATTAATTAAATTTAATCTATATATGCAGATTTATTAACCTTGAAAATCCTAACTCAGAACAGCTTTCAGAATTGAATTTAATGCATTTTTGGCTTAGTTATTGAATTTTTAAGACCAAAAATGATCATATAAAATTATGAATAAATATTTAAAATTTAATACACCTTAAGGAGTACTATAATTTCAGTCCTAAGCCTAAAAATCAGTGAAGGACTCATTTCCGACCCTATAAATCATATATATTCTTGATCAGCATCAACAGCTGAGTCGATTTAGCCATGTTTGCCAGAAAATTAAAAATTTTAATTTTTTTTCTTAATTTTATGTTTAATTTTATTGTTTAAGGAGGTAAACAAAAATCGAAAATTTTTAAATTGGTTAAATTTTTAATCTATATATGCAGATTTATTAACCTTGAAAATACTAACTCAGAACAGCTTTCAGAATGAAATTTAATGCATTTTTGGCTAAGTTATTAATTTTAAAACTTTCATTTTTTCCCAAAAATGATAAGTTATATATATAACTGTTCCCAGTCTAAATTCAGCGTAAAAGTATGCTTTGTTTTGGCACTTTCGCTTGTTGCTAATTAAATCAGCCCAAAATATGCACCATTATATAGCCAGAAAGGTAATCGTCCATCTGCTGATTCTGCTCTCCGGGTACTTGGAACCCAGCAGTTAATTAATTTGTACTAAAAATGTACAAACTAAAACCTACATCATTAAAATTTAGAAAAAAAAATTGCAGAAAATGAAATGAAAAATAACCATAAACTTAGAATGCAAATTTATGTTATGTTATTTTTAGTTATGGATATTTTATGTTTTGCTTATCTAAAAAAATTATATAACATTTTATGTATATTTAAATTTAGCTACTTTAAGTAAATATTTTTTATATTACAAAATTGTGTTAATTTTAAGGGTTTTTGAAGGGGGGTTATTAAAGTTAAAAATATGCTAAAGCCTGGGCATCCTTGTATCCTGGGATATGTAGCCCAGTTGTGTTTGTTCGCTTCTATTTGTAACTTTTAAAACATTTATGCGATGGCTGTTTCTTCTTCTGCTCTCCCCCACAGTCACTCACATTAAAATACACAGCATATATAGTGACGTATCATTCACAACCCCCCCCCCAAAGATGTTCCTTTCCAGAGATGACATGCTCAGAAACGAGGGCAACTCCCAAATCTCTCCCAAAATAACCGCCTGAATATTACATGGGACAGGTACATAATCTTTTTCTGCAGCCTCAACTGTTTGTATTTGTGTCATAGCCGGAGAACAATGGTCATGCGTTTGGTGATTACAAAAAAACAGGTTTTAGCCAACGGCAAGAGAGCTTTCTTTTATTTTCTGCAACTCTAATTGAATGTCGAATTACGCGCGGCATGTTTTTATTATTATTATTTGGCTACCCTTTTTTTTATAATTTTTTTCTTGTTTTTCTTGTGACAAAGTGTGTCCAATTGCTGGCCTTGAGCGGCAATTTATTCGGGTTGGTTTGGAGCTACTTTTTGCTATAAATGGTTTGCAACTAAGGCATTTCTTATCACACGGCACTTGGCTTTCGGTTTGTTAACAACTCGAGGTTTAAAGTTTAAAAACTAAGCTACCAAAATGGCATTTAAGGTGAGTTTGTTTAGAAATTTATAAGGAATATATCAATAATACTTAGGGAACTTTGAAATAGTGAAATAAACATCATTTTTATTACAAAATGAATACATTTAACTTGAATATTTTAGTTAATGAAAATCTCTTACTATTTATCTGTAGTTCTTGGCTCTCCTGGCTCTAGTTGCCGCCGCCAGCGCTGGTGTCCTGCCCGCCGCTCAGGTGTACCATGCAGCTCCCGTTTCCGTTCCCGTGGCCGCTGCTGTGGTCAAAACGGTGGCCCATCCTGTCCTGGCCAAGGCCGATGAGGAGTACGACCCTCATCCGCAGTACAAGTTCGCCTACGATGTACAGGACTCGCTGTCCGGTGACTCCAAGAGCCAGGTGGAGGAGCGTGACGGCGATGTGGTCCGCGGCGAGTATTCCCTGATCGATGCCGATGGCTTCAAGCGTATTGTGCAGTACACCTCGGATCCGGTTAATGGTTTCAATGCCGTGGTCAACAGGGAGCGCCTGGTGGCCAAGGCCATTGTCAAGGCCGTTGCCCCGGTGGCCTATGCCGCCGCCCCCGTCTATCATCACTGATTTTGAGTGGTTTTCTGTTGTTCTTTTTTTGTTGACTTAGTTTTAATTAATAAATGTGTGTATTTTGACCTAACTTGTTAACTAAATTACTTTGAGATAAATCAAAATCTCTCTCTTTACCCTCGCTTTAGCGATGCTCTATGGCGGTGTCAATGGCTGCCTATATCCCCTGGATTTGGCCTGTCAGACGGGTGCCCAAGGAAAACAAGTGGCCTGGGTTTGGGCTTGACTTAGCTTGGCCTGACTTAGCCTGGCTTAGCCTGACTTGGCTTGGGGGCCAAGCCATTGGTGGCCCGGATAAACGGATTACTCACCGAGGTTCTTTGACAATTGAATTGAAACCCTTGGCGAGAGCTTAATACATACATATTTATATATGCATCTTAAATACTATATATATTCGGAGTGTGCTTCCCCTCCCGGCAAATATTTGCTGCACTCTCGCTCCGCGGAGTAAATCAAAGGCATTCCCTGCCATATGCACCGAGGAGGTCCTGCCAAGTCCTGGGCATGCTTTGCTTTTTATTCCAATGCCGTTTGCCTTTGTTATTAAATTGCCAGCCACATGCGCACACTGGGGAGTATTTATTAAGTCATAAGCTTGAGCCCACACATGGGAGGAGGAGCAGGGTCTGGGTCTGGGTGTGGGTCCTTGAGAGTCCCCAGACGCGCAGCCCTCACCTACAGCCACGCCCACACACCTTAAAAACAAACAAATATATAAAAAATCAAAGAAAATAAACCGAACCGAAGGCAAGGCAAAAGTTTTCTAGACAAGAAGAAAGTGCCGAGCAAGTCGGTGGAGTAAAGGCAACGAGTCCTATTAAAAGTCCTGTGAAAGTAATGAATCGATGGGAATTAAACCAACACACAGAATCAATCGGAAATCAATCAACATTTGGACTATATTAGTAATTTATATTTTTTGTTTATATTTATAAAATATGTTTAAGAATATTTATCTATAAGTTCTACCATTTTCATATTTTTCTTAGCTAAAAACTTGGCAAATAATATTTTATTTTTCATTTGGAAATTCTTAATAATTTTAAATTAAATCATTATAAATTATTTAATTAATTTAAATTATTTAAATAATTTCCTTATATTTATTAACTATTTTTAAGGATTATTTGTTTAAAATAAGTAAGTCTTAAAAATATTTATTTTTTATACCACATAAGTTCTATTATTTAAAAAATTTCCCTTAGCTAAAAACTTTTTTAACTTAAAAAAATATTAAATTAGTGTTACAATCAAGCCTAACAGCTATTTCAAATAATAATTAATAAAAAATCCATTTAAAAAATGCAGATAAAAATAAGAAACTATTTTTCTTCAAGCTTTTCAACTATTTTAAATATTAATTAATCAAAAAACACTTGAAAACACAAAAACAAAATAATAATAATAATAATAATAATAATAAGAAACTATTTTTCTTTAAATTCCAATTGGCAGTGTAATTTTTCCAGCACCTGCAATGCCGTGGAAAATAGTGAAAAACACCGATTTCCCACACTCCCTCCTGAAACTCTGAAGTATTTGCCAGTGGCTGGGGATGGGGTGTTGGGGTGTCGGGATGTTGGGGAGTTGGGGGTGGCAGGTGGCCCTCACTGTCGGCAATTGTACTGCGAAAAGTTTGCGAATCTTAACGATTTGCTTATTGTTCTTTCCCGTTATGCATTTACCGAGTACATATTTAAGCTGCTCCGTGTATGCCCCGAAAAAAGCATGCCCTCTGCATGAGCATGAGGCTTTAAAAAGGGTTAAAACTTTCAGTCCAAAAATATTTAAAATTAAATGTTTAAAAAGTTGAATAAGTTATAATTAATATAATTTCTGGGCAGAAAGTTTTTTTAAAAATTCTCTTTAATTTTTCTTTTTGTTGTTTAAATTTTATACAGAAATATTTCTGTGTTATATTTATTTATTTTGTGGATTGATGGGTATCCTTGAGGTCCTTGCCAGTTGTCATTTACTGTGCTGTTCAGCAGCTCCCGCTGCTCCTGTTGCTGCGGCAACTGGCTGGCACTGGCACTGGTGCTGGCGCTGGTCCTGGTCCTGGCGCCGTCGTCGAAATGAAATTCCCGTTTAATTGCTGCAACAGACTGGTGTACCCACACATGTTGCACATGCCACATGGCACATGCCACATGCCACGGGTTATGGAGCAAAGGAAGCCGAGCAAAATAAGCACGGCTATAACTAATTGAATTATGTGGCTGCAGCAGCCTTCCAGCTCCTCCAGGCAGCGGCTCCAACTTGAACGGTTCTCCGTTGGTTCCTCCCCCCAAGGTTTCCTCCCATATAAATTTCGCTTCCGGACCATTGACTATCAGGGAGGTTTATTTTATTTTCTTATTTTATTCTATTTGCTGAAAGCTCAATTTAAAATGGGGAAAAAGTGAAGTAAAATGCATAAAAGAGGGGGGGAGTCATAAAGTTCTGAGAACTGTGAGGTCTAGAAGCCTTACAATTTATGGAAAATAATATTTTAAATACAAACAAGAGAAGCAATTATTATTATTATTTTTTTATATTATATAATTTTTTCTTTTGCGGTTACGATGTTGGTTTTAATCTAAGAATTATATTTTTATTATATAAAATTAAGGAATTTAATATTTTATATTATGTATTATTTTCATTTTTCGGTTTCTGTATTGTTTTTTAGCTAAAAATAATATTTTAATAATATAAAATAAGGAATTTAATATATCAAAAACTCGATTTGTTGAGTCTTTTAACTTTTAGACACAATTAAAAATTTATATTAAATATATAAAATATTGAAAAAGCTGTATAAATTGTAAAAAATAAATTAATGCTATTTAGTATAATAGAAAATAAAATATGTGAATCCTTTTGTCAACTCCTTTTAATTTGTAGACACAATTGAGTACTGAATACTTAGTTGCTCCATCAGCAAGTTGTATTTTCTGACTGATTCCTTTCTTTCCTTTTTTATTTATTTATTTTTTTCGCCACTTACTGGCAAGAGTTCACCTCCGGTTGTGAAGTGTCCTTTCGTCCTGTTCGCGCTTTGACGCTCAACGGCCGCATAAAAGCGCCAAGTGAATCCAGTAGGGAGCACACACAGGGCCAGGACAATGGTTCAAAAGGCCGTTTGTATGGTGCCCCTCCAGGATGTGGGATATGCCGGGATATGGCTGTGTGTGTGTGTGTGTGAGTGTGTGCTAATGGCACTGAGGCCTGCACAGGGCACACGATGCACTGGTCCAAAAGGATGCAGCGGTCATTGGCCAAGCGCCTGGGAATAGCGGGCATAGCTTTCCACGCTCTCGCCGGAAACGGGAAATGAACGGCAACATCAAAGGACCCATCATGGCGGCACAGCAACTCTGTGTGTGTGAGTGTGTGTGTGTGTGCTCAAAGCCATCAGCATGAAAAAGCGACAGGATCCAGGGGAGGGGGAGAGCAAAATACGGCAGCCCAGGTTGGGCAATCCGCAAACCGCATTTTGAGCGAAATTGAAGCTTTCATTTTTGAAAAGCAAAGAAGCATTTCAAGCGGAAGGAGCTGCTAGCCATATATCTCTGGGCCAATCAACTTTCCGGGGGGAAATTTTCAAATACTTTTCACTGAAATCAACTCTTTTTCAAGAGAAACTAGACACTAGAATGTATTTATTACAAGGAGAGAGCTTGCTATATGACTAGGGAACCATAATGATAATAAAAAAATAATAATAAATAAAAATAAATACAATAATATTTCCTTCCTGAAGGCTTCCATCTTCCTCGCCAAGTTATATTCTCACAGACTGTGTGGGTGTGAAATATAATTACAATGTCGTTATTTAGGATCAGGACACTCACAGGCAAAAACATTCCCCCCCAAAAGACAGACAGACAGAGACAAAACCGAAATGACTTTATAATCTTATTAAATTTTAATCTCCCAATCAGCCAAGGACCCTCTTTGCACCCTTTGTCAGCGGCAGCAGGCAAGCCTCCGCAATTATCCTGCCACTGGCAAAGTTACAACCACAAAAAAAAAAAAGAAAAACAAGAAAAGCGAAATCCCCAAAAAGGGAAAGCCCCAAAAAGGGATTCTTGCGGAATCAAATGACTGTTTTTTATACATATATATAATGCATACCTTTTTCGCTCCCCCCATCAAACTTTTCCAATTGCTGTTAACAAAACAGAAATCAAAATTGATTGCCAACTTTTGATTAGTTTCCCATTTTGCCGGGCCTGCTGCATTCGATGCCCGTCGATTGTCGATTGTCGTTGTCGTTGGCCAGGTGCCTTTGAGCCGCTTAATTGAAAAGCCAAATGGTGGTGGCCGCCACCGCAGCACATCCAGCTGTCCAGTAAACTGTGGAAAACTTTCCCAAAAAACCAAGCCAGAAACCCCGAAAAATATTCAAAAAAACGAATGCCGAACGGCAAACGCCAGAAGAAAATTGTTCCAGCTGCATTTGCATTTGTTGCGAAAGTTTTCCCAGTCCCGAAATTGCCGAGGAAAAGTTGCCCGGCCGGGCCAGAGAGTTTTCCGGTGGAAATGCAGGCAGAGAAAGGATGCTCTTTCTATTATTTTAAATCTATGAATTTATTATATTCTCTATTCTTTATTGTTTTATTTAATTGTGTTTTTTTTTTTAACAATTTATAATATTTATAATAAATTAAGCATGCAAATGCCTTTATTAATGTATTATTAAATTATTAAATATGTAAATACTTTATTTTAAAATCAAGAAAGACTATAATTTAAAGCTTAAAACTAAAAAAGAATTTTTGGATAAGTTCCTAAAGGCTTGAATATATTTTAAGCTTTGAAAATTAGTAACTAATTTTTATCTGTCTTTGCATTTATTTTTAAACAAAAGGTAAAGTAATTTTAAATTTATATTTTATATAAATATAAAAACTTGATTTAACTTTAAGTAACATCTTGAAAAAGTCCAAATTAGTCTCTCTTTTCTCCCTAAAACATGTTGGCTTTCTTTTTTAATGCCACATTTCCCG